GAAGGAATGTAGCAGGATGCAGCAGTAGGTATGAAATACAAGAACAAAAGTACTTATAGTAGAATTATGCATAAAATAACGATCGCATATCGATTGAGCTGTATGAAGAACGCTAGAGCTATAATGATGGCAAATGAGTGGTACGCGACAGCCGCGTGCGGCAAATCGATTACCCCAAATCGTTCCTAACGACCGTCTCCCGATGAGCATGGGTAGAAGGCACCACCACCCGCCGAATCGGAAATGGATCACCGCGCAGCTCATCCACAAAGAAAAAGGGAGTTAAGAAGAGCAACAATATCCGAAAAAAGAAAAGTAAAAAGCATTCCTGGGAGGAGCGCTACCGCTAACCGATCAATAGCTTAAGGCTAGAATATGTGAAAGAGCCGTAAGAGGATTCCTGTTGCGGCGATCAAGATAGTCGCTCTATACTCTAATACTCTAACCACGGAGTACTCTAACCGCGGAGTAACAGAGAGGATATGGGAACGTAGCAATATGAAACAGAAGCAGCGCAGAGAGAGGAATACAAGGACAAGAGAAGTAATACTAAAATCATTACAGCAATAATAATCATATATCGATCAAGCTGAATGAAGAACGTTAGAACTGCAACAACGAGGTAACTAGTTCGCGACAGCCGCGCGCGGCAAATCGATTAGAGAAAAACCGATTCATCTGCTCGCCTCCCGGGGATATGTTGTAGGTGCGTGGTCAGCCGCCTGACGTACCAGCCAAATCCGACCAGCCTTCCCCAATTCTGCCACTTATGTATGTATAAATGCAACCATTTATTTTGGAGTCTGCACCTACCTTGTTTTAGCTCGATGCATTAGTCGATCGACCATAACGTTTTCAGGCACGTCGAAATAGATAACCGACTTGGCTTCTTGAATCTAAACACAGACAATGTTACAACGTGATAGTAAATGGATTCCTGAGGGCCCTCACTTCTTTCTCAAACTGCTCGCCTTGCTTCACCTCTCTAGGATAACCGTCTATCAGGAATCCTTTGGAAGACTTAGCTACATCTCTAAGCATTGCTTCTTTGATTAAGTCCAAAACGATTTCCTGAATACGACTTTGACGACAAATGACAAAGTTGACGATAGAACGCAAAGCCTAACGAGAAAATTCGCTCACTAGAGGAACCAGCTCTCCTGCCTCCATGATTTGATTGAGTTTCGTGCCTCTAGGAGAACCGGATTTGACCTGCAATCTCAAGATCGAGATGAATTTGCTTATTAACAGACAACACTTTGCATCCTTTCACAACAATAGAGCCAATTTGTTTGACTCACTTCATCCCTGAGCAGGTCTCCAGAAGAAAGATGTGATAAGCCATATTTTGCCACGAGCTTTTCACATTGGGTACCTTTTCCAGACCCAGGGCCTCCTAAAAAGAGACAGGTAGAAGAACATTGACTGACAACCTACTCATTCAATTTAATTCGGTTATCACTCCGTACGGTTATCACTCCATTCCCTTTTAGTGACTTCGGAGCAGCCCGGGTGAGCTGTCAACGACTCTACCACTAAATAGATCGAAGTCGTTGAAAAGCTCTACAGAATGAAGTTGACTTAGAGTTGCTCACTCTGACTAAAACATAATGTAGCTGATGACTGATTTGTTCATATTCAGGCAAGTTAAGGTGAGCCATCCTTTTCCAAACATGTAAGGATTCTTAAAATCGATCTTCATAAATGAAATTGCCTACCTACAACGGGTTACATCACAAGCCTACAAGAGAGGGACAACAGGTATTGTTTAAAGATGGTAAAGTAACAGAAAATTCTAAAGTATGCTTACCAACAATGAAGAATATCGGCACATGCGCTTTTTTTAGTGGACTTAAGTCGATCGCCTTCCTCTCCAAAGTCAATGAAGATGTTCTTAAATAAAAAAAAAACTACAGTAATCTCTGAAGCAACGCTCAGAAATCTTATGAAAAAAGAGCTTCCAACTAGCATACGAAAAATATAATTTTTATGCATAATTATTGCGGTTTTTCTTCAATGAAAACGATAAAAATATTTGACGAGAACAGTTTCAAATAATTACCCTGGAGCGTAGTCACCATCTACTTCAAGACTGCTCCCCATTTGCTAGGCAGTCGATCAATTCCACGGGCGAAGAAGTTCTATTTCTTGGAAGAAATCCACGCTTTGACATCGGCCACCAAATCATCCAATACGTCGTAGGTTTTGTCCACTAGCCAATTTTCCAGCGAACGATTGAAGGGGTAGACCGTAGGAGCTTGCTTCTGTTGGTAATTATAGCGGATGTAGGAGATCCCATCCCTGACTGGCGATGGGTTCGTCGACAAGACGTTCAACATGAGGACGAGCGTTGTCATGGTGGTAGACGATATGGTTCTTCTTTCGGGGTTGTTTCACTTCGATTGCAGCGTGAAGGTGCTCAAGTTGAGTTAAGTAGACGTCGCTGTTAAGGTTGAACTGCCGCTTACCATTCTTGTCCGGGATCCGCCACTGTTGTCTTTCATCATTATCATTCCACCAACAGCAAAAGCCGTTTTAGATTATTTCCGCTGGATGATTCCGCTTTGTCTAAGCATACATACCACATGGCCCTCTTTTGGTGTTCCTTTTGGATCAACACGCGGAGACACACAAACATTTTTCCTTCTGACGTTTTCGAAGAGTAAGCATGACTCGTCACCCGTGACGAGGTTCTTCAAGAAGGGAGCTCGCACACTGAGCTGCAGCAAATCAATTAAAACGCGAACTCGTTCTGCTTTATTACTGTCGGAGGGATCGTGAGGGACCCATCCACACAATTTCCACACCTTTCCAAGTTTTTCGAGACGACGGACGACCGTCGACTGGTTGACATCAAACTTATCGACTAGCATCCGCGTTGTCACGCTTTCATCTTCTTCCATGACCGCTAGAAGGGCCTGGTCGTTGAAATTCGATAGCCGCCCTCTTCCCTCCTCACCTCTAAGGTTTGTGTTACCCACTTGAACCATCTCTCAACTTGGCTTTGGCTGATTGTCATCGCCAAAAAGTTCGTTGAGATCGCGAAATGAGTCTGCCTCCCTCCAGCCTTTTTCGAAGTGGTAGAGCATGTGTCGATTATGAAGATGATTTTATGAACGTATTTCTATCAAACTAAACCAGTAGTTATTTCTACAAAAAACCAAATCCAAAATTCAGAGTGTATCGTAAGGAAGGCGCAAAAACCGCAGTAATCATGCATCAACCTAACAAGAATGTAATGAATTACACAGAACAACATACTTCGGAATTAGTCCGTCGAGAAGTCGCTGAACCACTGCGAAAACTTCTTCGATTGTTCCCTGAGCGTTGATCTGGAAAAATGCATGTTTTCTATAGGGGGCCATCCGAGAATTATTATCAGATTGCCACCGCGCAGATGTACAAGCGATACTCGAGCTCTAAGGGCCTTCAACGCACTTCCTCCTTGCAGTCCTTCTCCAATTATGGTCAAGCATGACGCTGCCATGATAAAGCGTAATTGAAATTCCCTCCTGCATAGGTCCTCCCTATGCATTCATACAATCGTGCCGCAATTTCTTATCCCATTTTCGAATCACCTTGAAGGCATACTTCACAATAACAATGGCTTAGAATTTGCGACGGGGGCGAACTTGTGGCTTCCATGTATGCCATATGAGGCTTTGTGAGGTCGAAGAACGGCCTCTAGATCGGGCGCAATAAAAGCTCAAGACTGGCTTTCTCGACGTTCACCTGGAGGCGAACGTGTTTCAACATCGTTGTAGGGACTGCAAAATTTATAATGCGTACACATGTTGGAATTTCAAATAACTAGTCATTACTCACAGCGACAGTAAAAGAGAGTTTTTGCCATTTTTTGCTTTTCGTGGCCAGCTCTCTGGTAATTGCACACGACTGAATCCCGTTCAAATACCTCTTCAATTACACTTCCGTCATGGTACTCTCATACAAGCCCCTATTTCCAGCAAATGTAAGAAGCCTTTTACTTTGCGTGCTCTGCGAATTTTCTCGCTTTTTTCGTTACCGATGCAAGTATCAGCACCAACAGCAGCGTCCAAAAGGTGAGCGAGAAGCCGGATACCCTTTGTCTTCTTCACTACTCCCTCGATATTGTTGAATGCTTCCCACAGCTACACGTAGCTAGAGCCTTCAGAAATATCTGTTCCATTCAGCGTGAAAGGGAGCATCAGAACCGAGAAACCAATCCACTCCTCATGAACATCGTCTTCGCTAGGTATAGTCTTGAGCCGATTTTTCCGCAAGCACTGTCAAATTGGGCCAGCATTTGTTCCAGCTGCCCGATTTTCGGTTTTGTCGTGTGTGCTTGATGACAGCAGTTAAGGCGTAACATTCTCCAAAGCTGTCAAATTTTTCACGCCGCTAAGGATAACTGAGGATCACTTATTCTCTTTTAACGTTATCTAGTATGATTTACAACTTCAAACACTGCCTATATACCCAAAATGTTTTTCTTTTTTCAACCCGCCAACACTCATGCTTACTAGAGAAAACATGTTACCCTATAGAGCTTGTTCTTTTTCGCGTAGTAATCAACGACTGGAAAGGTGGCGTTTGTGAACGTTTCCAGACGCTTTTTAATAGTCTCCATGTTGTCATCAGCTCGACCACTGCAACATGCTTTTATGAAATGAAAGAATAAGTCAAGTTTAAAAGAAAATGCTCCACCTAGTCTTGGCTCGATGTAGAAGACGCTGAACCAAAATATCTTGCGGAACATCAAAATATATGACCCCTTTCGCCTCTTGGATCTTAACAATGACGATACAACTAGAACACAAAAGAGCAGAAGGTCCCTACGTCGTCAGGTTGGAATGCTTTCCTTTTTTCAACTCTCATGGATTATCATCAATACAAACCTCGCGTTCGAATTGCTCTCCCTGTTTCACCTCTCGAGGATAGCCATCTATAAGGAATCCTTTGGAACCCTTAGCTACTTCTTTCAGCATTGCCTCTTTGATCAGATCGAGGACGACTTCCTGAAAAGACAACAGTGATAAGTTATAGGGCATGACTGCGAACAGTTTAAGAGGGTGGTAACTTACAAGAGGAACCAGTGCTCCAGCTTCCATTATCTTAGTGAGCTGAGCTCCTCTGGGCGAACCTGACTTGACCTGAAATCTCAAATCTTCGAGAGGGAAAGGTTTTGCAGAAAGAATGCATTTTATTAGCTAGCTTCTAAAGCATAATAAAATGGGATGCGAGGACCGACATACAGTACTACTTACAAGGGAAGGATACCAAGTCGAGTGGCCATTTGAAATGAGACCTATACTGCTAGACGTATTTTTTGATGCTGATTTCAAATCTGCATTCAAAATCTGCCA